CAAGTTGCAGATTTTATTGCTTAATAAGATAAAATCATAAAACCACATTTCTCAATTCCTCAATCATAGCCTCTCATAGGAACATGATAGAGTTTCGTGATTAACTAAAACTCTAAGGACCATTTCGTAAAACCAACAAGTTCGTTTAGGTAATATACCGGTGACACGTCAGCATTAATCCAAAATAAGTCTATATAATAACAACTTCACCTTCTCTTTCTCTCCCATTATTTTATAAAACCATCGATTTTATTTAACAGTGTCGTAGTCTCTCTGCAAAATTTTCTTTAATCGGAGAACAAAAATAAATACAAGTCGGAGATTATGCAGAGATTCACGGCGAAAAAATCGGTGCAAAACATTTCCGTTTCCCTTTGGCGACGATGTCTCTCATCGTCGTCTCAGACGGCGGCCGTTAAGGATTCCGACGAGTTTCTGTCGAAGCTTCCTCCGTTCGATTACGTACCTCCGCCTTACACAGGTCCTTCCGCTGACGTCATCCTTTCCAAGAGGAAGGAGTTTCTCAGTCCTTCCGTGTCCTGTCTCTATCGCAAGCCGGTAATTGCTCGATCATATATTGGTGATAATCGAATTTCGTTTTCTCGATCGATTGAATTTTGATTTCGTTATATAGAAATTCCGGTCACGAATCTGGTGTTTGTTTTTTGAATCTCCAAGAAGAAAAAAATTGGCTTGATTCGAATATTCTGTGTGATTAATGATTGGAATCTATTAAATAAATGTTTGAACCTCTTTTTTTTTTTTTTGGTCAACATGTTTGAATCTCTTAATCTTTAAATTATCATGTGAAACGCTTTTTCGAATATTGAATGGCCCTTACAGATTCTTCTTTGAGGTTTTGTTTTTGATGTCATTAATTTTTTGAGAGTTTTTTTGTTTTGTTGCAGTTGAACATTGTTGATGGGAAGATGCAGTATTTATTCGACGAGAGTGGTCGAAGATACTTAGATGCTTTTGCTGGAATTGCAGTTGTGAATTGTGGTCATTGTCATCCTGATGTGGTTGAGCCAGTAATCAATCAAATCAAGCGACTTCAGCATCCTACTGTTCTTTACCTTAATCATGCCATTGCTGATTTCTCCGAGGCTCTCGCTTCGAAACTCCCTGGTGATCTTAAGGTGCTATAGAGAACAGAACACAAGAACATTGCATGTTTTTGATTGTTGTTGTATTCTAAAGTTGATTACTTTAATGGCGGTTTTGGTTTATGGGAATAGGTGGTGTTCTTTACGAACTCAGGGACCGAGGCTAATGAATTGGCACTCATGATGGCAAGATTGTATACTGGTTGTCAAGACATTGTATCGATTCGAAACGGGTATCATGGGAATGCAGCTGGTACAATGGGGGCTACTGCTCAAAGCATGTGGAAATTCAACGTGGTTCAGGTAACTACATACAGATTTTGTTCTGTTGATTTCCGGTGAACTAATATAAAATGTTGGTCTGTATTCTGATATCCTTTGTTTGCTGCTTGAAGACTGGAGTTCATCACGCCATAAACCCAGATCCATATAGAGGTGTGTTTGGTTCTGATGGAGAGAAGTATGCAAGAGATGTGCAAGATCTCATACAATATGGCACGACCGGACACATTGCTGGTTTCATATGTGAAGCTATACAGGTAATGAATGTTTTAACTAATCTCGAAATTCATATGTGAAGCTATACTTGTCAATGTCACTGCATATGTGAGTAGGGAGTTGGAGGGATTGTGGAACTAGCCCCAGGCTATCTGTCAGCAGCTTACGATATTGTGAAGAAAGCTGGAGGATTGTTTATTGCAGATGAAGTTCAGTCTGGATTTGCTCGCACTGGCAATTTCTGGGGATTTGAGGCCCACAATGTCGTCCCTGACATAGTAACCATGGCAAAGGTTAGACTTGTCTCTATCTAAAGCTACTCTAAATGTAAAGGGCATCAAATCGCGAGAATTGAATTAGTATTGATTTTTTTTTTTTTATGGTATGAAAACAGGGAATTGGAAATGGGTTTCCTTTGGGAGCAGTTGTGACAACTCCAGAGATAGCAGGAGTATTGACACGCCGATGCTACTTCAATACATTTGGTGGGAATGCTGTGTCTACCACAGCTGGTCTTGCTGTTCTGAAGGTGATTGAGAAAGAGAAACTTCAGGAAAATGCATCAATGGTCGGATCTTACCTGAAAGATAAACTCACTCAGCTGAAAGAGAAACACGAACGTAAATTTCC